GCATTTATTTGAGAGTCAATTCTGACCCGCACAGAGCGACCTCCCGCCGTCTTGCCTGGCACGCACAAATTAAGGTGCACTCAAGCAACAATTGAACAAATTCATGGCTGTCCACGAGGAATTCTGCTGAACACAAAGAAAAAGTAGGTTTTGTTTTACCTTGAAGGTCTGTGAAAGTTAAGTTTATTGAATACTGAACTGTAACAAACTAAATATACTGTATGTTTACTGTCAATGTTGTTTACCAAAACACATTGTGTGTTTACCTTGAGCTCTAACAAACTTGCTGAATGCATTTTATGGCCCATAAATCATTTGCAAAGCCGATTTTTTTTAAGTATTTGTTTTTTATGTTCCCATACAATGAAACAATATTCTCAATTGCATTTTGAGTGAAACGTCACACAGGAGACCGTTGTTAGTGTTGAATGTGTAACAAAAAGTCAACATTGACTTATTTTAATTTACATCTGCAGCTTTAGTAACAGAACAAACAAACATCCTTATTTTAACCCAAACCATGATGTTTTAGTTTTGTTTCAATTTACACTCACCTCTTGTTTAAAACATGCAAAGGTGATCCTGCAGAAAATACATTTCCCTCGGTACGTAATTGGGAATGCACAAAGCACCTGTAGGTCAGTGAAATGGTACCCAAAAAAACCTTCTAATTGTATCACCAGGTCTTGGCATGTTAAGGGATTGGACACTCCTTTACCAGCCATTTGGGTTTTTTCCTGCGGGGTCTTTAAAATCTGAAGACGTTGAGGTTTACGACTGTGATGTCTTGCAAGATAAATTGCAATAAAGTTTACATCAGACATTTGCATTCAAAATTATTTTTAGATAATGTTAAATGAACTCCTGCTACCCAACAACTAACAAAAAAGGTTTCGAAAATTCAAGTTATGCAGCCAGTAGTGATTTCTTTATATTGCATATTGTTTATTTACTATTTATTCTTCTGTAGTACTAAGTCACATTCAGTAGAATAAAGTCATGATTTATCCAGAACAGTGTTTATAACTTTATGAAGCACCAATGTAAGGCAGCTAAAGATAAAGCCGTATGACCACTACACCAACCCGTAAACATTTTTGGCTTTAGGCTTTTACTCTTCACTGACTTTGGCCAAAAGTGCTGATAATAATTCATGCTCAATGCTGTGGTTGTATTTCAGCAATTAAAATCCCCACTGGGTCCTCTAATGGGAGGCCAGCTGGGCACTGGACTAGAGATATCAGTAAACAGGAATATTACTCTCTTAATTGGCTGTCCAATAGATATGGCACTTAAGTCATAATTAGCCTTTAAACTGTGAGGTCTATATGAGCTGCAGCAGGATCCTAACACTTTAAACCTCTCAGTTGTACAGTTTACAGAGTCCAAAGCTGACAGAACATCAAGCTAATTTTAGAGGCAACATGATGAATGTAAATAATTGTCTCTTTTCAATAAAACAGAATTTAAGTGGTGGATTTTAAAGGCCAGGAATATCTGGCCCCTTGTCCATGAGTAAAATATTGTACACAAATACAACAAATACAAGCTAACTATGTTGTTAACAAGCTACTTCTGTAAACCAACTAGCATATTGAATATATAGAGTGGTGCGGGAATGTGCAGCATTTGTGTACTTCCAGGTCCAGGGAGCCAGTGTGATGCTAACTTCTCGGCTCAGCTTACAATATTACGTCCTCTCTGCACCACACTTGTGTTCTTCACTTATGTCAAAAATGACAACCAACAATCACCTTTTATGGCATTTGAGATTGTACCATTAGTGCTCTCTGGTATGAACCGTCTATGACTCTGCCGTTGGTTTGGAGGCATTTATACTAAGCCAATATATCAGACTAACAAATGTAAAAAATATGTCCGAATGCACTTCTTAACACACCTTAGTGAGATATCACCATGTTCAGGGAGCCGCTAATGCTCCTTGTAAACACCTTGACCTCCTTGTTGATTATGGAGTCCGGGGGCCTCTGATGATCGTCAGTAGATTAACCTCGGAAACGAGGGGGCCACACTGCTTTGTGTGCATCTCTAAAATATGTGAAAACTAGCATCACTTTTCATCTCTTGGCCAAAAGAATTTCACTTTCAAGTTTGGCCAAATTATTTCATCTCAATTTGTGTTTTGTAAAAGTTAAGTCTAATGTATCAACTTCTGAAAGCAGTTTCAAAGAGCAAGTTTCATTTCGGACCCTCTGAAAGAAAAAGAACCAAACATAGAAAAAATTTTCCTTGGCAAAAGCAAAAGATGTGACCCATAAAATATTAAAATCTGCCAGGAGTCACAGAGCAGTTGCTCCTTGCATTAGACTACAAGTGCTCAGATCCTTTTCTTACACAGAGCCTCTGTGAATTATGGTTGAAGACAGTGAAGATGACATGAAAATGACTCTGGTGCAGCTTTGCCCTTTTATTATATCTTTCTTATTGTTATCAGTTCTATTTGTAATGTGCACTTTCCATATTTAATGTGACAGTGCTGACATGCAGATACCTGTTCATTAGTGACCTTGTTGATAGGATGATTGGATAAACTTTTCTTATTATCTAACCACCTTGAAAGATTTGAAAACAACAAAGATGGCAACATCATGCACACAGAGGACCGTGGAGAGGGAGGAAAATGAAAGTTCAAGCGCTTAGAAACTAAGAAAAAACTGAAAAACCCAGAGCTACAATGCTTGGCATCAATGGTCATGGTCGAACCAAAACAATATCAAAGAAACCTGTGTTTTTAGGCCGTCTGTTTAGTTCTCCTCTGTGTCGATACATATTTCATCGGGTCTCACCAAGGCGAGGCAGGAGCATATTCTATCACAAAGGCCTCTGAACACATTCCCACGTGTAATGCTGGACAACACAAAGCAGCTCAATTGTCTCAACTCTGGGTTGGAGTGTAACAAGTCCAAGCTCAGCATAAGTGCCCTAAGGTTAAAAAGAAGCTACAGAGAAAGAAAGAAGACCCTCAATTGTCTCTCCAAGGAGAGGAAAGCCAACGGAGGGGGGGAACCTGAGTGTGTTTCTATCAAAGAAATGACAATGTAAAGGACATGTTTTTGCAGATAAGCCTTACCATATTTATTTGTAATCACTTGCTGCATCATGTCCCAATAATTTAAAAATGTGTGAAAAGTCTGCAGCAGTTGGGCTTAGGAATCCTTTTCAAATCCATTGTGATTGAATAAATACATGAATTCTCAATGAGTGAAAAGATTTCATTTTGATGAGAAGTTTTTCGATTGCAGCAGCTACACTGTGTGCTTGCTATTCCTCCCAATGAGACCCGCTGTTTTTGGAAAGTTGGAGGCTTAAATAGCAAATGTCCCTCCTGTCTGTTTTTTTTTTTGGGGGGGGGGGGACCTAGCGGTTCACGGAGGACCACCAGGGTCCACCTCTTCTTGGTCCTTTAGCCTCTTTCTTTCTCTGTGAACCTCATTCAAAGGCTTTTCTCATCTTTGTGCAGGAGACAGAATGTGAGAGCTCAGTTCCTCTGAGATAGCTGGAGGTCGAGGGGCCCTCGAAGGAACTTTAGCAGCGTGGACCCTGACTGCACTCATACTGAAATAAGGTGGCACTGTGTGTGGACTACTTTGAATGTGGTGTGCTGTACCGGTGGTTCTGCAGTGTTCTGCGTGACAACAATAAATATGGGAAGAAGTTGAACTTGATTTGGTTACATTTCTTGCATATTTATTTTATATCCGTGTTTCTACGATGCTACGTAGGTAAATGGTTTCTTTGTCTGTCTGTTTTAGTTTTGTTTATTGTTGTTATTTCCTACTTTGTTGTGAATACTGTTAAAAGTCCAGTTATGTACAACATAGATCAAAGATTTCTGCAAAGGGTATTTGATTTGATCGGATGCTTTAGCCTTTCCACTTCTTGCCCAGCTAAATCTGCTCTGTGCAAAGCACATGGATGCATAAAGAGAACTGGATACAGCTTCAGAGGTGGCACCCAGTTCATTCGTGTGAGAGTTGCTCAGTGGAGCATGAAGTGAAAAAAGTTTGTATATACCTGCACCTTTCAACAATCTTCTGCATGCTCATAAAGCAAGCGCAATAGCGTTTCCCTCAACCCCGCCTCCCAGCCCCCGGTCCAGCCTCGTTCACATCAACCGAGGATAGAAAATAACTTTGGATTTGGCTGTGGGTGCTTATTATTTGGCTAAAGCTTTACAACTTTTAGGACATAATGATTTTATGGGCTATTCAAAAGTTCATACTGGGAAGTTGTTTCACCTCAAAAAAGATCCACTGAGTTACAGACATCTCTTTCCCAATGTAAGTCCATGGTGAAAAGTCTTTTTGGGCCGCATGGCATCACGTTACAGCTCTGAAAATTGAACTTCCACCATTTGGCCGCTATGTAAAATTTGCTTCAAAGACCTGGGTGCTTTGCAACGCCTCGTGTCTCCGTCAAAAATACATAAGGTATGTAATTGTAGTGTAACAGAGTGGAGAGAGCTGCTTCTGAAACTTGCTACGTTGCATCTGGTGGAATCACATGCATTGAGATTGACATGCTGTGGCTGCGATTGCCCTGGCGGATGCAGAAGGCGGCGTGCAGAAGCGCCCGGTGAAATCCAGCTGTATGTTCAATATAAAACACTAAATTAACCAACCAATCAGCTGTGCAATGAGTTGACGCTTGCTATAAACATCTGTAAAAACGAGGTGAGCTGCAGATTAAGATATATATATAAGATAGAATAATTCTTAATAGGTTCTACCAGTGACCCCTTCCACATCTTCACACTGAGAAAGTACTACTATGTGGGGCCTTAATCTATGTACTTTTCTCTGAATTGATTTCATCAGCGGGTGCATTCTTCTCCAGGTCACATTTGTTCTGAGTACTGCTGCTTTACGTTGTGTAAAACTTTGTGACGGAGCTTCAGTGACAATTCGTATTACAGAATGACACACACTGAACAATAGATGATTGCCTTTATTCCATGCATGGCATACAATAATGGTAATTCTCCTTAAATAAAAAGCATTTGTATACTCAAATTAAAGGCTATTTCTATAGATTCATTATCCAGTGGCAAATATAATATTTGACATTAATGGCAAGAGAATAACAACATACCATACAATGCGCTTTAACAAAACAATAAATTGTACACCAGTATAAATAGATCGTGTTGCCACACTCAGTCATACATTTTAAATACTACTAGTGCCCTGTCAATTAAGGTACTCAAATAAACTGAAAAGATGAAATAGCAATCGTAATAATTAGTAATAATTTAGTTGCAAATGGTCCAAATAAAGTGGCTGTTAGTTGAAAACATAAAAAACACAACATTTCTTCAAACAGACCGACAATGAAAGAATTTCACCAGACCGACATCTTTGTACTCAAACACTAAATGCTTCAGATGATCATTTGTGTCAGAGGCATTTTGCTGTGTTATCCACTCGAAGGATCTTTCTTTGTTGTCAGATAGCCGACATGCTTCGGATACAACATCTTCAGACATTGCACAAAGAAATTGCACAGCGGTGACAAAAAAAAAGTGTTTTCATTCCAGAACAGTTTATACTTTCATTTCCAAAAAGTAGCACCTACTCGTACAAAATAATTATAGAACTACCAATATTAAATTCCCAGTGGAATACAATAAACAAATTACCTTTTTTCTGGAACACTGTACACATTCATTGCATTTAATGTGGTCACTGAGAAGCACTATAAGCAACACATGGATGTACATTTAGATGTCTTTTGCATCCATCCAAACTGACAAATTCACTCCATTCGCCCAAATTCATGATGTCCAGTACAACATTTGGACAACAAAAATATTCTCAGGACACACAGGAAGAGACAAACCAAAGCTCCAGTCAGGAAATAAATGCAATGTTCTGGAGTGAAGCCGCTCGTTAGTACTCGCTGTGTCATGGACAGTATGTGTGAATGATGTTGTACATGAGTTCAGCTCTCCGCTATCAGTGTTCACTTTGCAGGCCGTCATACAAAGCTCTCCTCCATGTTGGAGCACAGCAGGAAAGAGTCGACCAGCCGCGGTTTAATCAGCTGCTGGTGGTCGGCTGCCTCGATGCTGTCTGGACACCCCGCTGCCAGCCTCCTCAAGGCAGCCTGGAGACACACACACATCAGTATGCATGTGCACAAACCCCCCCAAAAAACACACAGACATATGCATCAACACTGACTAGATAATGCTGTACTGTATACAAACACACACATGTTAATATATTAGCAATCACAAAAGAACGTTGCCATTGTAATTGGCTGCAAACCATGGATACGCTGAATGTCAATGTTTTTATTATTCGGTCAGAGCAAGTGACGTATCATATCGAGCGGCCGCTATTGAAAGTCGCGGTATGTAAGTTACATTAACATTTAAGATTACAAATGATCCGTGCGAGCTCAGCATCCTTTTGAAGGCGAAAAATCCAACACCTACAAATGCTCTACTTGACCTTTGGCTAAAAGGATCAAATAGAATCACATTAATTTGAATAGACTGACAAGTGTGGGTACAGTGAAGAGGAGGGCATTTCTCTGCCCAATTAAGCTCCTGAACATTATGGGCTTCAAATCCCCTCATCGGCCCTAAGATCTGGTCTCAATAATTATGATCAGAATGAGAGAATGATGAAGTGCGAGCAGGGATATTATTCATGATATGTACATATTTAAGCATACAGAGTTTGAGATGATGTGTACCGGTCAGCTAAACATGGCTTGAAGATACTGAGGTTGTGATATATTTTCAATTTTCAGATATTGCCCTGTGGATGTAATTAAATTCTGCAGTCATTTGGTGCACTGATGTTACACATGCAGGCCTGCGGAAAAATGCCCTCAGTTTGTACTTTTTAAAGGGCCAGTGTGTAGGATATAAGGGTATCTATTGGCAGAAATAGAATATGATATTTCTAACTATGTTTTCATTAGTTTCTAATCACCTGAAACTAAGAATCATTGTGTTTTAGTTAGCTCAGAATGAGCCCTTCATATACTGTATATATATAGGGAGCGGGTCCCCTTCACGGAGTCAGCCATGTTACACCGCCATGTTTCTACAGTAGCCCAGAACGGACAAACCAAACACTGGCTCTAGAGAGAGCCTTTCACATTTTACGTCACCTGAAGGCCACCGTAGTTCTCCGACATGCTTGTGAAAGCGAGAGAGTGTTTTTATGGTGAGAATGACCCCTTAGCGAGAACGCCATTACTACGATTTTGCACTCTGCGGCTCACATTAGTCTTGGAAAGAGAGGAGTGAGTAGAGGGGTATTCAGTTTGTTGCAACATGCCACCACACAACTAGATGCCACGAAATCCTACACACTGTACTTTTAAGCACTACATAGCAAGTGCAGCAGGAAATCTATGGTATTTTAGCTGCATGACTGAAATACATTGGAAAAAAGCCACTTCAAATATATATATATATGTATATATATATATATATATATATATATATATATATATATATATATATATATATATATATATATTTAACTACAGTATGAATGAAAGGCATTTTTGCTTGTAAAAAGTAAAAAACAAATCTGCCAATGGAACAAGTGACAATTTGCTTGGTAAGATTTCTTCAAATAAGATGTAATGTTTAGGCCTTTCAAGATAAAAAGAGATCTTTTTTAAACTATATCCCACAAGAGATACAAGATGCATTGTCTAAAAGCAAGCTCCTGAATCTCACTGAAATGTTATGTGTTCAGTGATAGTGTCATATTTTAATTCTGTCTAATAATTAGACAAATATACTTGTTAAGATTTTGTGTTTTTTGCCGTGTAGGCTGGGGTGAATGTTTGAATGGCATATTTGTATTCAGTCATTTACATGGAGTCATTTACATACTGTATATCTTAGGGTATGCATGCACACACACTCACATGCACACACACTTTATACCTACCAGGCAAGCGACCAGCACTGAGTCGCTGTTATTTCTCTCAGTAGGGGAGCGACACAGCTCGATAAGACGAGGAACAGCTAAAGACAGCAGAGGGGGAAAAAACAGTTACAAGCTTGTCCCATTCTTAGACATTGATATTGACCATAATGAAGGGTGCAGACAGAGCAGATGTGTACTGGACACATCTTTTTATAATGCTGAGAACATTCCCAAAATAACAGGGAGGTCTCTGTTGCACTACCTTTCAGCTGGATGGCTGTTTGGGCCACGTCAGGGTCTCTGCTCAGACGAGCCAGGGTGACAGCAGCTTTCTGCTGAACGCGCTCACAGGCGGCACCCTCTGATGGACTCGGGGAGGTCGGCTTTTCTGCCAGCAGCAGCAGCAGTCGCTCTATTCCTAAAAGACACGATGTATATTAAAGATTAACAAGGAAGGAAAGGAGAGAGTTAATGGTGTCGGGGAGGATGGAAATGAGCAGAGATACAACAAACGGCACTGACATAAAAAGCAACAAGGTAACACACAATAAAAAATAAATTAACAATTGAGGAGAAATAAGTTGCATACATACAGACACACACACACACACATAGGAACCAAACACAACAGTTTAAAACAGACGTAAAGTTACACAAGACTCAGACACAACAAAGTGCTCAGGTGAATTGGAAAGGAGGCAGAAATGACTCACATCAGAAAGGATTTAGACCAAAAGTGCAGTAAGAAAGCAAACAGTTCAAAACCACTCAACACAAGAAAAGAGTCTTCAGGTGGTTATTACACATAATTTTGTTTCAGGACAATTGCAGAGACAAAGACTGCAACAAACTGACTTTGAAATACATTGTACAGAAAATAAATATAAAGACTTTTGGTTGCTCATTCTATGATTGCATTTTATAAATACTCAGCAAAGAGCAAGACATACGATTTATTTGGAAATGACTGAGGAGACCTTGATGCATTCAAGCAAGAACTAAATGTGAATAAATATTACTGATACTGGCACAACATATACATACCAATCCATGTATTTTACAATACATTAATAAACAACATAGACACAAAGGAACATGTTAAACAGGATGGACTTGAATTTAAGAGCAGAAAATATAAATAGTGCAATTAATGAATGACAAACGGGATTTTAAAAAGCATTTCAGTTGTTTAAAGACATTTGCATATGCTCAGAGGTTGATGTTTTATTTAAGCTGCTCCAGGCTACTTCACAAATAGTATCTGTTGCTGCCATCTTGAGGATTAAACAAGAATTACACAGATTGTTCTTGCTTGTTTCTCAACATATGGGTGTTAGTGAGTGGTTCAATACATGCTGGTTTTGGTCATAAAAAATAACAAATATGTGTACCATGCAGGTAAAAATGCTCGCTGTGAAATAGATTACCTTGGTCTTGCAGGACTTCAGGGGCACACTGCTCTAAAACTGACAGGTTTGCCAAGATTGTCACCACCTGAGATTAAAACAGATTAAAAAAAACAAAGTTAAACATACACTTTTGTTATTTTAGCCGAAGCTGGTTCAGAGAGCTTCATTTGATAAAGCAAAGTGTTCTGTTCCATACTTCACTAATAGTTACATTTAAATACAGTCCCTGCTAAGATCTGCTCCTGTTCAATCACAACCAGCTGTTTTGGTGCTTTTACTACAATATCTTTTGTAAGAAACGGCACTTAAATGCACGGTATGATGTGCACCTGGTCTTTGGAGTAGGGTGTGTTGACTCTCTGGCGGTCCCTGCAGGCCTGCAGCAGGATGTGGATGGCATTAAGCTGCAGGAGAATCTCACAGGCCATGCTGTCGAAGAAGGTGATGTTGGCCAAGGCTGCAGATGCCAGGAGGAACACTTCACCACAGGAGGCGCTCTCGCACAACTCTGAGAGAATAAGACATCGCTCATTCAGTACAGTGCTAGCTTCTATCTCTATCTTTATCTTTTTTCACTGTTGGTTGTTTTTTTTAAACCAATCCACTCACTGATGAGCGCGGTGACGATGTCGTGCATGCTCTCCAGGAAGCTGGCGAGGTGCTGTGTGGACGTGTGGTGAGGCGACGTGATCTGAGCCACGACCGCCGCTGCCTCGGCCCTGGCTGCTTCCACGCTGCTCTCGTCGGTCAGGATGTCCGCCAGACAGAGGATCCCGTCCACCTGCACATCACACAACAGTCCATTCATTGGAATCTGTAATCTTAATAGGACATGAGCAGTCATCAGTGTTTATGATAGATATGATAGACTTTAAAGGAAGACACCTGGGATACTCTCACACTGTACTTAGTCAACTATGATCAGTGCACTCCAGAAATTACTCAATTATTTCATTAGTCATTTACAGTCAAGGACATGACTTCCATTTCTACCTTTATGGGCCCAGCTCAGGACATTACAAATATAGTCCTCAGCAACAAGTGTCATCGTTATGCAAAACACACTGCCCATGTTAGACGTTAGCCTTTAGCACTTAACATGACATCCTGACCATTTTGTGACGATGATTTATTTGATTTAAGATGAGTAAAAAGTGCCGCAAAGTCTTAACATTTTCTGCCATCCGGCTATCGTTAGCGTGACACACAATGTTTTCACACTCACTGCTACTGACTGCATGACTGTATCGTGACACAAAAGGCTAATTAATGTTCACTACGATGCATTACTGAATTCAAGCAAATCTCAAGTTGCTGCTTGTCAATTTCCAAAGACAAACATTTAATAGAAACCACTGGCTGCATGGGAAAACAATCACTAAATGTCTAATACTTTTGAATTTCATGTGTAGTGCAGTTTGCAGTCAATATATATTTCATAGACCGCCAGTTGGGGAAACTCATGCCCACCATATCATAACCAGTGCTACCGGTTTAATAACATGTGTTTTTTTTTGGTTTTCTGTGGAAAAAGTTTCCTTTGCAAACTAAAATGATGACTAACAAGGTCAAAACATGGTTTGTGCAACATTTTACAGAATGAACTTTCCATCATGATCATCCAAAATGTGTATGTATTTTTTTTTACATAGTTTATTTTATAGATGTTTAACTTGAAGGGATTCTATTGAGATGATGTAGGTATTAACTGTGTTGGTGTGTTGGTCAGGGTACATACTCACTGTTTGAAATCAAGTTTAATGTTTGGTAGAAGCTACAGTATGATGTTACCTACTTATTTGGCCATCTGCAGCTTTAATCTCTTTACATCAAGGACCAAACTGGAAACACGTTTTGGTCGTTTTTATAGTTGTGTGTTATTTAAAGTCCTTTTTTTATTGTCCAATAAAAATGAGCTTAAACATGCAAAACCATGAGTAAGGTTATTTAATAAAATATCCAATAGTAGAGGTGCATATCACTTTCAGTGGTATCACTGGCCAACCATACTGACAGTGAAGTGTCCATGCAGGTGTCAGCTTGGATAAAACTGGCTGCTCCGCCTGTAAAGCCATCACAATTAAAGCACTGATTTAACGGCCAAGAGACTTGTGTATATCTGGCGAGCATAGGCCCAGAGTGTGTGCATCATCAGGTTGGAGGAGGAGCTCAGAGTTATAGAAGAGCAGAAAAGCCTTTTTTTCTAAAGATAACTTTACTCAGGGTCATGAGGTCATGTTTATCTCATCTCTGTGTGTGCGTGGTGCCGTGTTTTACCAGCCTTGTGGGGACATTAATTTGTTTAAGGCTTACATGGACTCGCGATCTTTAAGTGGACGAAATGCACTTTTAAGGGTAAAGACTTGGTTTAATGTTTAGGATGGTAGCGGAAATGGTTAAGTATCCAGGAAATCCCCAAAAGTCATGAAAACAAAAAGGACTGTGTGTGTGTGTGTGTCTGCATTAATTGGTATTCAGGCTTCAGGAAATGATGGCGATGTAGAGCAGATATGTATCCACTTGGGGGGAGTATTACACAGTTCAATCAAACTTTACGACAGCATCTCTGCACCCGTCTGCTGTAGTTTTTATCAAGTCTTGCATAATTGTTGAAAATCAGAATACAATCCATACAATCTGTTAAAATGTACAGCCATAAACTTCAGGATCGTGGTTTCCATGGTGGCGATGAAGACCTAAATTGTGTCCTGGAGAGAAATCCCTCAACTGAAACATCAGAAATGTTTTGTTTTATTTATTAGTCACTTTTCAGTCACAGTTTATTTCTATCATTGAGGGAAAGAGCAAATTAATGTTTTTGATGCTCAGCCACCACTTCTGAAACAAATTCTTTTTTGTTTTTACCGAAATGTTCTGTTTGTTTGTTTTGTTTGCTCCGCTGTCTTTCTTTCTTCTGTTTGTTTGTTCTGTTTGTCTCTGCCCTGTAAAGTGTCTTTGGGTATTTTGAAAAGCGCGATATAAAATGTATGTATTATTATTATTATTATTAAAAGTTTAGAGCATCCAGAGTGAGGCAAACTGTCAACTCTCAGCCCGCCACACCTGTCAGTCTCATCTGCTGACGAGCATCAGTGCGCTGAGCTTCACAGGGCAATTCCCTATTTTTGTCTCTGTGGACGTCAGCAGCACTGCGCCATCGCGACCCACTGACGTGGAACAATCCACTCTCCAAACCCCCGTTCATCTACCCCCCAATCCCCCGTCCCTACCCACAACTCCTCCTCCTCCTCCCTAAAATAGGATATTCCCCAACTCCTCATTTACCACACGCCGGATGCATCTCATTCACTTCTCTGGGCCAACGCCAAGTAACTTTTCTGTTTCACTTCATACCACCCTGTTGAAAGTATTTTAGCCTATGAACATACAAAAGCATTGAATTGTGGTTCTCTGTGTCAGGAACAAAAGTCCGGAATCCCAAAAATCAAATTAAATTTGTTAAATTTTTAGGTGAACATTTTGTTCACCTAAAAATGTCTTGTTCAGCGTTTCATTGTATTTAGCTCCACCCTCTTGATTAATGCATTCATGTCCTATAATTTAATTCCACGCTCTTAGATGATGATAGCTTTTCATATAACATGATGTTTAAAAGTTTGAATTTTCAGTCTCATATAATACTGCAGTCATCTGCAGTCAACTTCATGCGGAAGTTCTGCTTCTTTGTCCATCAAGAGCAGCTGTGTTCCTAATTGATACCCTTCCCATTCACCATATTATGATTACATAATGTTCCAGTTGGGGATAAAACTAAGTTGGTATATAGTATATCCACCAATGAGCAGATGCATGCCGGCCCCATCTCTTGATCACCCTTCAACAGTGACAGTTGTGTTTCTCAAGCCTGAGCGATCGCTGGTGAGCGGTTGGTAGCGTAGACTTGCCTGACAGCGTCTCTCCCGGGACGAGGCAGCTAATCTGGGGCGGACTTTGGTTTCCCCGTAAAAGAGTTTTCACACTCGGATGATTCATGCTGTCCCAGCTGCTGTACATGTGAACACAGACGCCGTTGTGGCATCATTATTAGCCGGAATCAGGTTATATTTGTCTTTCCGTATGCGCTCGATTGACACAGGTGCGTCTGCTGTTTATTTTGGTTGAATCCTCGATAGAGAACAAACAGGGACAAACAAAAGAAGGATGTATCATTAGCTCTCTCTCTCCCTGACTCGCCTTCTTTCCTTCACACACACTGCGAAGTCATCCAGGTCTAAATGTTTGACCTGTCAGCTCAGCAGTCAAGAGGTCCCATATAATGATCTCACCACGGAGACACACTCCAAATCATGACTTATCTTTATTTGCATGTGTGTACTGTATAATTCATTTTCATCAGGAAAAAAAACAACAGGGTACAGAATGATGCCTTTTTCCTCGTCATCTCCGATCCTAAAATTATACAGCGAGAGTTTAATGGCGGTTCCCCTGAACCTGAACTCAGTGAACTCATTCATGAAAATTGAATCAAGTAAATAGCTGGAGAACTCAACGGCTGCAGTCACAAGTTTCTCCCCAAAGAAATATCAATGCAGGAATATATTTATTCACACCAATAAAATATATATTTAGGCTGTGTCAGCTGCTGCCTCTTAGACAATGGAAAGGTGCCACATATAATCAATCAATAAGTTATTTTGAGACATAAACAAAGTTTCTACACTGCATTTTCGAATGGAGTCTGCTGATAGCAGTGGCTAAAATCACCTGCGACTTGCCTCTTCCCGGCATCAATCAACAGGATGTTAAGGAAGTGTGATCCAAAATTAAGTAATTAAAAGCACCAGTTGCATCATGTTTAAATGGTGGTTGAACCAGTGTAGAGATATTCTAAATTTACACATTACAAGGAATAGATTATTTAATTCCCCTGTAACGAAACAAATGCTTTTTTTCCCCTGCATTTAACGATCCTTTATTCTACGATCACACACTTTGTTTCTGTGCCGCTCAGCCTCCTCCTCCTCATCCTACTGCTTCTGCCATTGTTGGCACTTTATTCACCTGTGAAAATAAACTAAGCCTCCCAGTCATAACATGGAAAGTGAGAGCATGGCTGAATGTGCAACAGTAGACAGACTATACTGTGCTGCTGGGAAGAGCGAGAACAACCTCCTGTCTGAGCCACGACTTCAGCTGATCAGTGTAAACATAATCCGTCTCTGCTGCTGGAGGGAGCCAAGGTATTTTACTGGAAGCACTGTACTTAGTTGAGATTAATGTCATCTCACTTTCTCTTTCTCTGTGTGTGTGTGTGTGTGTGTGTGTGTGTGTGTATGTGTGTGTGTGTGTGTGTGTGTGTGTGCGCGCGTGTGTCGTAGGTACGTACACATACCCATTTTTCCAATGCAGCAAAATCTGGATTAGTGCTCATGTGCCATTTTAATTGATTCTGTACATCTGGCCATAAAATGCAGATGACAATTTGGGACCATTCAATTAATTCAATTAACTTGTCCAATCAGATGTCATTATCATGATCTTGACCTTGTTTTTTCCTCTTTTCCTTTTGTATGATATCAATTAATGTCTGTCTCTTTTATTTCAACATTTCGTAATTTCGAGAGAGGTTTACCTTGTCCAGTTGGTTGATGCCCTCCTCCACACAGCAGATGGAGGCCACTGTTCTCAGAGCGTGAGCGTAGAGGTCTCTGAAGCGGTCCTGCCTGCAGATCTTAAACAGGACTACCACAGCTCCTTCCTGTGGAGGAAGGAAAAGTAATTAGATGTTTGTGCATTAGGACAAGAAATACGGTGCTTCGTTAATCTGCACTAATGCTGAATTGTGAGACAACCACGACAGTAAACCTACGTCAAGCATCATTCACTGTCTGTCTGTGTCTTGATCAGGTGTCTTCGTATGAGCTAAAGATGCTAAGTCCTAATTAATACTGATTAACAACAGACAACAAATTTCGTCACTTGAGATGTTTTTCTATTACTATTAAAAGGAAAACAATCCATTCCCAATCCTGAACCAAGTGCTGTTGTTGCCTAAACCTAAACCACAGACTAATGTCAGGGTGCTGCACTTTCTGTTACAGCAAGACGTAATGTAGATAACAATTTGGTAATATATAAACATCACTTCTAGAGGACAGAGTTGCATATTTATACACCGTTAATGTAATAGTAGTTAAAAATGGCCAGCAACACCACATGATGACGCACCTAAAGTTCTGTTCTCATATGAAGATTTTTGTTTTGTTTATTCGTCGAGTGGACACTGTGTTTGTTGCAATTGGTTCTCTGTACGTTTGCATATGTTAACGTGGGACAAATAGGTGGTTAGTTTGGGAAAACAACCTAAGGCGAGAGTTTTGAGACTTTCACAGGCCTCACGTTGTGCTCCATACCATCAAATGATTCACCATACGTCATAATCAGCTCTTGTCTTTGAAGCACACATGATTGTGCAAAATGATGGATCAATACTCTGTGCTAGGCTGTGCTGTGAGAGCCAACAGGTCCAGCAGATCTGAGCCAATAGCAGCATGCTGGTTTCAAAGAGTCTACGAGACCCGGAATGACCGATAGACTTGGCCGGCTTTACTTAGCAAGCCTGCCAACCACAGAACCTATCAAATTGCTCACACAATCTATCATGTCAGATAAAAACAGCCAAAATATACATATTTCACGAATGGAAAACACTGAGCTGGAAAAAAAAAACATGATTTGCTAGCTATAATAGCTGAGACTATTCTGTCGGATTATGCTTGGTGTAAACAAACAAAAATAGCTCCTGTATTGGCTCCATATCTGCACCAAAGCACCCCTCTGAAAAAAAAACACTTGCAGGTATTGAATTCTATTGTAGGTAGATAGAATTTCCTGGAGCAAGACGGAGCCTGTACATAACTACCACCATTATCCTAATAAGGCCATTATACTGGGCTGGCATGTCTCATATGCTGCTAAGGCCATGCTGCTGGGGCTTGGAGTGACTAATCATCCTGCCCTCCAGCCTGACCGCTTTTCCCTGTTCGCCACCTACGCAATATTGTTCCGCCATACCTGGAAGAACTGTGATAACCAAACAGACAGTTTTCAGTAAACCTATTGAAACTCCGTAGAGACTCGCGGCTGAATCAAGCTGTGTTCGGGTAGTGAAGAAGAGGTTTTTGATCCTGTTGTTATGCTGTGACGCAAATGTTGCCTTAGCTTTCAGAGTGAGTCTGTGGAGAGAATCTCCGAATGGTCGAACGCACTTTTGAGCTTTGGTTCGTTGGTTTTAAAGTCATATTATGTGACTTTAACTATTAAAAAGTTTGATTAAAGTTTTTAAATTTACAGGTTCCTTGATACCAGAGATTTTTAAGTACCCCCACGCAATGGGGGTACTGGCGGGACGCCGGTTATGGCAGCCAATCACCGTAAAACAGGACCTCTGCTGAGTGCAATGATGGGTCCTACAAGCGTGTATGACAAACGTTTCATGGGTTATGAATTTGGTGAGGCTACAGTTTAGGGGCCAGATATAACCGTCACCAGTGAAACAGGAACTCTCTGCTGAGTGCAATGACGCCTCAAATAAGAGTCTACAGCAAATGGTTCATGTGTTATGGAAAGGGCGTGGCTTACATGTGAGGGCGGGGCTATGAGTCTATATTTTCATGCAAATGTTCTTAGGTCTGGACCCTTATTATGGCTGAGAAATTTGGATTGGAGCAAGTTAGACAAAGGACACTTAAGTTACAACAACTTCCTCTTTTATGGAGAGAGACGTATTTTTCATCGCCACGCCAACAATGTTGCATGAAAACGCAAACGTTTGATAGGTTTTGATTGCAAGGGTCTGTAGATTGTCCGGACCAAATTTGAGGTTAATCTGATTACATTTTTAGGTGGAGTTCGTTCAAGTACAGCTCCTGGAAAAAGCTAAAAATGGGCTAAAATGGGACATTCAATTAAAAATGTCTGACTTCCGGTTGTTGTTTTTTGTATACCCCCAGTATACTCTCCACATTGGATCTGCCTAGCAAATTTCACACATATAGGTTAAATTTTAGAGATTTTGTAAGTGGCGCTATCGAGCCATTTTGTGTACCAATTGACCTGAATTTTTTGATCCTCTAATTGGATAATCTAGCTACATAGCATCTGTTATATATGGGCTTTGAGCAATGCTTAGGCCTGACAGAGATTGTTTAAACTTGAAATAAACCAGCGATAAGACTCATTTTCATAACATTTAGCTGTCTTTCTTTATCCACTTTAAATCTGAATTGTATCAGAGGAAAAAATGTAACCCCCAGCTTGACTTCCAGACAGTTTTATTCAGACAATCAGTTTGTATAGACGCGCCTTGTCTGTTTGTTTCATCTTTGCAGACTGTCTCGTGCTTTTCCTTTTTACAGATCGTTGGTTCTTGTCTGTTGTTTCTTTCCTTTCCTCATCAAACAACTTGCAGTTCTATTGTTTCCACTTCAATGAACGCATTTATCCTCACACTCGTGCATTTTGGAACTTGCTGCACTAACATCATCATGTGAAACTTGACTACTTGTCAAAAAATGCCTCTCTATCCGTTTGTTTGCATGTGAAGGTCGACACAGCGTGTAATTTCCTTCCATCTCGTCGTTTTCTGAAGTGATCTCTGTGCTCTGGACTGTTGTGCTCGCTCACACAATGCCTGCAGCTTCTTGAGGTTGCAGGCAGTTTACATCTTAAAAAATCATTCATCATCTTGTCTCAGACCTCCCTATCCATGTAGTTTTGATGACTCTCACCAGGCCTGATTTATTGTCACGTCATGCTCTTCCCCTGTTAGAAGAGCAAGGGCCCACACGGGGAGTCTGCCAACATGGACACATTTAGATCAGTATCCATTAAGACAGTAGGCAAACACTGAGACAGCAAACTCTCATGATCTTCATGACACAGTCACTCTCTAATATTCCAGCTGCTGTTTGATATATGAGGTGTTTCATGGCTCAATGTTAAACACCGTCAACTCATATAATATTTTTCTCTTTAGTCATGTCAGGCCTGGGCTTTTCTGTGTGGAGTTTAAATGTTAAAATGAATAATGTCTAGCTATGATTTATCCCTGTGATACTAGATAAAATAACTAAATAAATTGTTTTGGTTGATTAAAGGCAGTGTTGGCAACATTCTTCAAAAACATTACATCTCATTACATCCTGACCTTACATCCGTGACTGTCGCAGGACTGTAATGAGCCCGTCCATTCAGTTCATTTGGGCCGAACGTAATGATCGGACGTCCTACCTGCCTGTCTACCTGCCTTTGCTAGTCTTTCCGTGCACTCATTCTGCATCACTGGAGTCTTCTACACGCTGCTGGATCGTGTGAATACTAACAATAGCAATGTTGTTTACGTTCACCGTGATAATTTGGGGGGAGTGGCTATTGAGGGAGGCCTGAAGGAACGGGCTGTCGTGTTGACGACTTAGCAACTTTCTTACTAGATTTAGACACTTTTGGAGCTAGTGCTGCTACCCACTTTCATTGGGAAAGAGTTGGCAACACCGGGCTGGGTTTTTGGGTTTGATCATTTTTTAAATTAGATTACTCTTGCTGGTCACTCCATTGTTGCCGACCCCAGCTGTACGTGAAGTTTTAAGTACCCAAATCTTTCATTTGAAAAACACTTGTATGAAGTTGTTAATTACATTCGAATAAAACCCAAGGGGAAGACTTTATGACCTGACAACAGTCGTGACGGGATGTAGAAGTTGATGTATCAGCAACAAACAACGTGCTAACTTAGCAAAACGATCCGCTGTTGTCACTATGCAAGCTAGATGGCTGTAAATGGCAAGTTAATACCTAATTATCACACAGTGCTCTCATTTTCCCTGAGGAGCTGCCACCGCCTTAAACTGTCTGGTATCCATTATGCTGCTCAACATTGTTAAACGCATCTGGTACTTCCAGCATATATACACAATGATTCATCTCTATTCATCATGCTGCCTGCATCACTACCACACATTTAACGTATCTCCCTTCTCTCCACACTGAGCACTCACTAAACACCGTCTGACACTGGCAAAGAGATGGAAAAGGAGGAAATATCAGGTGCCCACCCAAATATTTAAACGGCTCATTGCAGTTTTTCAAAAGTAGGAGAATGATAATGAGCGTAGCGCTCTGATACGAGCCAGAGGATGTGCTCTACTGTAAAAGGGTGTGTATGTGAGAGTTGTGACAGACTGACTGGTGCTAGTTCATTAACTCAGACGGCAGGTGGAGGATGTTTTGCATTGGGTATTCATTAGCAGCCCGGTTTCCTTCAGACGCCTCTCTGAGGGCTCGGCCAGCGGTGCCACGGAGGGAGTTGAGAAAGGTGGAGCGCATTGAAAGGTAAAGCAACCTGCATCTGTGACCAATGCTCACTCCTAATGGGAGCTGCCAGTATTGATCTGACAATCTGGCAGCAAAGCAGGTATGTGCGTGTTATTCTTTGTGTGCGTGTGGGCCATCAGGAAGAGTCTTATCATGAGTATCCTGGAAGCATTCGGTTGACTAATGGCCAATTGAGACTTGCTGTCTGGTCTGTCTTGTCTTATCTGACAGTGAAATGGCTTTTTCGAGGCATGTACAAAGAGATAGCTGCAGGCCTGGACGATGAACACTGGCAAAAGGTGGAGCTGATCGTAACAAGGGTGTGTCTAGAGGGAAGTGAGGGGTGGAGATGTAATATCAAATGAAGCGGCTTCTGCAAATCTTAGAAAAGAATACATCCTGTTGCCATCTTGCCACAGATTTTTTGCACAATGAAATGCGTTAGTTGCAATTAACATGTTCTCACTCCAAACTCACCAAATGCAGTAGCTTTGTCAGTGGCCCCACGCTTCCAACTACGACGCTCTAGGTGCCCCTCTAGTAATCTCTATTAACAGATTATTATTGTATTGAGTTTGGTATAGGAAGGGTTCTGGTTTCCCTTTGTAGTCTGAGTACTATTGAACAATCAAATTCAAGAGGGTTGAATTTTTAGTTGAATGCAAGTCAACAGTCCGTGTGGAGAGCAAAAGAGGCAAAACTCATTGGCCGAAATGCAATCTCTGAATCTATCGACTATCGTCTGACGATGATTCAGCTTTTTATTGGTGTGAAATTAGCTACTACTACTGGCTACTTGTGGAAGAATTCGATCGTCTCTCAACTCAACTCCTGTCTCGCATCTCAAGTTGCGAATCTGTAAACCATGAGCAGCGCATGGAAAAGGAAGTATTGACTCTGATTTCCGCTGGCTCAGAAATATAGTCCCTCACACCCAGAGGCTTCTCTGTAGTCAGACCGATGGGTTCCAAGGTTGCCCTCGCGTCAGTTTTTGCTCATTACATGCGTACATCCTTCATTTTTTACATTTACTTATGCAACAAAACTACTTGGTGAGGTTGAGGCAACAAATCTACCGGATTGGGCTTAGAAAAATATCCCGTTTTGAGTTAAAATAAGTATGTTTCTTACATAAAATACCTATGCTTGTTACATAAACAACGTTAGTGAAGTATGGAAGTTACAGTACAGTAAGACAATGTTTACTTGGTTTTCTAGGACACGACCAGTGGTCTCCTGGGTGAAAGTATTGCATTTGATTGACCCATCTAACCCATCTCGTTCTTAATACTACATCCGTTGCTCTGACCTTCTAATAATGACACGGAGGGGCTACATTGGAGTTAGTTAGTTGAGTCAGTTAGTCCGGTGTGTCCCATACAGATGCTAAAGGGTGCCTCGGTGAGTTGGTATCAGACCCCAAGGGGCACTGGAAATTAATCTCCATCTGATCAAGGCGGTACAGAGTCCACTAGTATGTCCACAGTACCTTGGCAATGATGCTGCAGAGCTGTGGTCCGTCCTGGGTGAGGGACAGCAGGTTGCTGATGGCACTGCCGATCGAGTGAACGCTGTCCGATGAGTCGATCTGTTTGATCAGGAGCTGCGACGAAGATCAAACATTTGTCATGGTCATTTTTTATTACAGACCCAAAAATGCAATTCACATTGTCAGCAACTGAATGCTGTTAGAAGTGGATTCATTTAATTTTTCTGTAATTGTAACATCTTTTAAATTAAAAAAAATAAAAAATAAAAAATAAATATATATATATATATATATATATGTGCCCTTTAATTATATCAGTTGACAGCCTGGATAAAAGGCTGTTTATTAGGAAAACACTTAAATCACAGTGTATCTGTGAAATCCAGTGAAAGGTAAAAGTTACTTTAAAGATATTCTATTCTTTTTATACTCATAGTTCTTTATTCACCATTATTATTCGCACAGAAAAATGGGAATCACATGAACCAAGGACTTTATTAAAAAATCTGTACTGATGACATCGATTTCAACACCTGACGGAGCAAATGTGGAGGGGCCCAAAAAGAAATACAGAAATAATATTTTGGGTAGATATTCAGGGCTGGGGGTCATGATTCAGTTACATACCCGGATCTCATTGGCTAGAGCCATGTCGATCATGTTGCTGAAGGAATCGCTGACGTCCGTAAGGATCTCGTGGATGGCCTCCCTCATGGACTTCAGGAAGAACTCGTCATCAGTGTGAAGGCACCTGTGAGTGAAGAGACATTTTGGATTTTTGATCGACATAAACCCAGCTGTGTACAAGTTATTCTAGCATTCCAGAGTCTTACCTCTCTGTAATATTGGTCAGCTCCAGACACTTTTCCAGCAGAGATTGCTCATACTGCAACAAGAGGAGAAGGAGAATAAGATTACGCTATGATAAAAGACAACGAGAAGTAACATACAGATGAAAATAAATGGTTTTGTATCAAAGTTTATTCTACACAGAATGAGATTAGTGATCCACATGCAGTGCTTAAAGTGAGAGGTATTTATTTTTAACTAGAAAACTTTCCAAGGGATCCATAGAAAATAGATAATTACATAATGTGGATTAATCTAACTTCAGCTTTAATTCACAGCATTTCTCTGCTAAATAAACTCAATTCTTAGTCTCTTGAGCTGCACAATATTACTGCATTTACCTACTTATAAGATTTTTCAATATGTATGACATTATGATCATTGATATAGTTTGTTTATGTCGTAAGTTTTCAAAGGGCAAATGTAGAATACCCCATGAAACCATACAGCAACATAGGTATCAGCTATTTTACAATTTGTTGTGGTTTTCTCTTGTCACTAACATTTGCAAAACCCCCAATGGATACATCATCATTTCAAGTTATTTATCTGCAAAGATCTGATCACTTTGGAATCTAATTTTTCAACTTTCTCTTTGTTTTTTTGGTGTTTAACACATAATGAAGTCTATAATAAGGATATCACTCATTTATTTAAGGGGGAAATATGATTCAGTACATGGATTTGAAGAACTAAATATAGGTTTTTATTGGCATAAACTTCTTATTTAATTTAGAAGTATTGGGACAAAATAGAAATTGATCACATTCTAAAATGAGTCTGTTGTATATAACGGCATGAAAAAGTCTGTGTTATATTTTAATTGGTGTGTCAGGAAGTCTTGATTTTAAAGCTTCAGCACATACTGTATCTTCCTTTGTAACTTCCTATTTCTTATTGGTAAAAGCTTGCAAGGAACCCAAACTGACTTCAAATGCCGACCACACCTTCTGCATCTCAGGCGGTGTGCTTCGGGCGGCGCTGTACTCGTGCACCAGTGAGCGCACGTGGCAGTTCGCCCTCACGGCAGTGCTGTGGACCCTCTGCCAGCGTCCCTTCTCCAGTCGCTGGAACATCTTGCCAAGCTCCGTGCTGACCACCAGCGCCCGGCGGAGCAACGTCTGCAGGTTGTTCCTGGCCACGTGGTCGCCTGCGCCAACCCCGGCGGCCACAATCAGCTCTCCCTGCTGGGCGTCCTCCTCCACCCCGATGGGTTTGGCCTGGAGGACACACATACACTCCACCTCCGTCATGTGGCGGAGGTCCTCCATCCAGCGCTGGACAGAGTCAACGTGGAGCGACTGCATGCGGGTGCTGTAGGAGAAGTAAAGGCAGGACAATTAAGAGCCAGTTTATTCACTTTGGAGATGTGTCACAGTGGTTCAACTGCACAAACAGAACTCCATTGGAGCAACGAATCCGACTCAGAAACACACAGATACTGTGTGCATGTTGAGGACAGTAGTGTCTGAGCTCCGGGAAGTCGTTTGTGCTGACCGGCCTGCTGACTAAAGCTTGAACTGATTTATATGAGAAAACCTTAATCATCTTTGCCTCCTCCACAAGAAATAACATGCTTAATAAGAAGAAAATGAAGGAAGTGGTAACTCATTAATTCAAACTGCGAATCATTTAAGTTAGCTGTGCCGCCCTTGTACTCACTTTCATTCCCCCTTTCTTCTTTCATTTGTATTAGAAAGTATAGGTCATAGTGTAGGTTTGGTATGATAAAACTCAATAAAACAAGAGGTATTCAATATTTATAGAGTTTTGAAGGTGGTGTCTTCTTGTAATTTCCTTTCCGAAAGGTGACCTAGTGATACTTCCAAGGCTATAATACTGTATTGTTTTTATTTACATGTCTACTATACGTTTCATCAACTGGTGTGGATGCTGACTTGTTGCCCGGGACCTGTAGGCTTTAGCCTGAAGCCAAAGTTATACTTTCCGTGTACATTCCATGTGTACATGAAGGTCCGTATGACGTAAATCTCGCCATCAGAGGATGTACGCGAAGGCCGTGGGGACATCCACATTTGTTGTGACCGCTGGATGTATAAAGAGAACTGGACAAAGCGTCATAGGCAGCGCCCTGTTCATTCCTATGAAAGTTCATTTTGCATTATGGGGCCTATAAAGTTAATGCACTAGCGTTTTCATCAACCCAGCCCTGAGGCCAGCCTTGTTCTCAGCCTCATTCACATAAACAGAGGAAGAAGAATATTTGGCAATTAGTGCATTTTACAACTTTTAGGACCTAATGATTTAAATAAGGGTTATTTACGTGTTTATACTGGGAATTTGATTTACCTCTAAAACATGAGCAGATTATCCGAGTTACAGCCACTGTAAGTCTACGTGAGAAAGTATTTTTGGGCCATATGTTGTCACATGATTGTGTAATTCCACTATTTGGCCACTTTTAGCCCGGCACTGGCTTTTAGACACAACATGTGAATGACCCCTTGGTCAGTTTCGTTCAGTTTAAATAAGCCGAATATAATGTATGTAGCCATCAAATGCAGAGTTAATACTCGTTACCGAGGCTATTTAACACAATCTGACGGTTACCTATGGGATTTTAACCCCAAAAAATCAAAACCCCTAAAATGACCGAGCCTTTTTTATTTACCGCTATCTTAAACCCATTTTTTCAAAAAGTATTACAAATTTAACGGTGAACGGGTGCAGCAATAGTCATTAAAGGTGCTGGGCTTGAACAGGGTTAAATTATAAAATATAAATCTGAGAGCAATAAGGTTAAAATAAAATTAAGAACTGGGAAAAAAAATGTTGCTTTTGATGAATGCAGGCATGCTGTGTGTGAGTACAGTCCTACTAAAATTATCATTTGAGTCCTCACACATGCAAATAAAACCCCACACACCTCCTCTAAAATGAAATCCATTAATGCCGGCTAATATAACTGCAGCGCTAAAACCATCACGGCATTCCTAAAATCAATGATGTGTACTCGAGGTCGATTATCCAGAGATAACTGCCGGTTTACACGCTTGTTAGTTTAAGCATTTCCCCGGAGCATGGAGACGGCTTGAACAAAGGGCTGCGGCGAGCAAACACTCCTCCCCACTTCAATCTCTCCCAGCGCTGACCCTAATGAGCGCTGGCTTAAGGGGGGGAATCCAAGTCCTGCACCCGGTGAGTCAAAGCTCCCTGAAAGTGGACGGGTCGATGGCTACAGCAGCCACCTCTGCTTTGAGTCAACACATGGGAGCTCTAATGAAGCTTGATCTTTGTTGCTCTTGGCTCTCTGGGTATTGTCAGCGGTTGGTGAGAGATTGCAGCTTGCTGGAGACATTGGGATATTGCATTAGTATTGAATATTGGTTGGCCTGGCTGGTTTGAGAGAAGCATTGTGGCTGCGTGTCCACTCAAAAACAAAGATTTGTCATTGACCAGCGACAGCCGGCTTCATTACGTATCATCTTCAAGGCAGCTATTGGGTTTCAGCTTTTAGCCAGAGCTGGTTACACAGGGCCGAATCATTAGAACGCCACAGCTCGTCCACTCAAACCACACAGAGGGCAGCTGTTTGCTGAAGGAACACCGTTTTGTTACGGTCAGAGAAAGGTCTCAGTAAAAGGTGGAGCAGATTAACACAGCTGACTCGACGAACACATAAACTACTCGTCTTAAACTGCCAGTTTTACCTTCACTCTTTTATGACTACTAGGAGAATACACACGTATGTGCCCTCTGTATCTTTTTTAGGTGAAGCCTTTCTTTAATAGAGTCTGTAATTTGATGTTTTAAATTGAAAAATAAAACGTTCTGCACATTCTGTATATGTAAATACATTTTGCATTCATTCAATCATCTGTCAGGTGAGGAGGTGGAATAACGATGCAGAAATATTCAAATCCGTAGGTTGCAGAGCGAGGAGGCTCCCCAGTTCAAAACAATTCTCTCCGGCAAATGAATCTCCCTCAATCTGGAAAAAGGATGAAGATGTAATTAGCTGTGAATGTAGACTGGAATAAATAACTGCAGAGTGTTACACTGAGCAGTAATCATTAATACGGAGCTTGTTCTGCTAAGTGGGGTAAATGGCTTCATAGACGATGGTGACTTCTGAAAATGGAGGAGAGATGAGTTTTAGTTTAAATCGAGGTGATTAAAGAAATTCATTTATCCTAAATGTTCCTTGCAAATAAAATAATACTGAACACTGCTTCAGTTGTTGGTCAGTTCTTTTTTTCTCACATTCGAAAAGAAAACCTTCAAAAAAACACTCCCGACTGAAATGTCTCTTGTTGGAGATTAATCACACGGCAGTGAACAACACAGTGACTCAAACTACGGGAGTCAAAAGAGCTCTCATTTTCTAAACTGGCATCATCTTCCGATACATTTCACCCAATTAACCTACACTTTTTTATTTTGTAAGACCAAACACAGAAACAAAGAAAAAGTCCAGATTTGTTGATCATAAACTTCTGTTATGTTTATCAGGTATAATGTATTTCCTAATCGCGGCAAAGTGATTTCCCACTTTTATATAACAGCATCACATGAGGATGAACCCGTCTTGATTTACATGCCCATCAAGCCACGAAACGTTCCCCCTCACCACAGGGGAGAAAAAAAAGAAAAGATAATAATAATAGGCTTGTTTTCCAAAGGAGGGGAAGCGGTGCACTTCAGCTCGGAGGGAATGACAAATATTTACATGCAGGGCCAACAGAGGGTCAGGTGACAGCAGCTCTATTATCCCAGACGGGGATCCTGATGTGGAGATGAAGCATCACTCGCTCTCATCTGCCGCTGGCTGTCAGGAAACTGAGCGGTGGCGGCAACAGCAGAGACAGGAGCCGGTTCATAAGCAATGTCCTTGTTTTTGTTTTTTAAAAAAGGTGCAGCACGTTTTAAACATGTCGAATTTTCTTTTTTTTATCAAGGCTTGGAAGTCTATTAATGTATCTGTCTGTGTTTGATATTAATGTGTGTTATGAATAGATTAGAGGGAGGTACTGTTAGTTTTTGATTGTCATACGAATGCAATTTTATTGTGAGGGAAATCTAAATCTAATCGAGCCAAAATGAATCAAACTAAAGTGAATTGAAATGACCTGTAATGCTCGTCTTTATTTGAGCTGAATGAAGTTGAATTAAACAAGGAATCTGTGGAGGAATGTGAGCTTCTTTCACAGTGAGGAGTCTTTGATCCTACACAGCTGTCAATAAAACTTTACGGCGTGCAAGAACTTTGTGTGACTTAGACATGAAAGGGAAGACGGAAAGTACCGAGAGGC